AGAAATTCTATTTATTTTCAAATTTTTCATTACATTTCTTTCGTCTCTTGTTTTTTTTTTCCTTTTTCATTATATTAAAAAAATTATTTTGCACACATACAAACAACACTCAACAATCGTTCATTTTCCTGCCAAACAGTACATCAAATTCTCAGAGTGTCCTTCTTTTGACAGTGTTTACAATAAATAATTATGCAATTTTTCGATGAGTAACAGAAACGAAAAAAACCCAATAAAACAATGTATCAGATAACAGAAGGCAAATAGGAAAGGAAAAAAAAGAGAAGAAAGGAAAAGACGGGAAAAGTGAGACAAGACAAATTGCCAACTAACCAAGTTCGCTAACTACAGTCCTTTGCCTCAGCTCAGATGCATTCAGCGTTGAACCATCTGGTACACACCCGCGAAGATTCGGAACCGACTTTGATTTTGGCATATCAAAATCGTCGTCCGATGGATCATCCGTATCATAGTCATTACTTTCCATACCATTAATATAACATACCTTAAAAATTTATGACAGTATAAAAATTAATTGTCAAACTTCTGCTATTGCTTCTACAATACACTAAAAGCATCAGCTAAACAAGTTTTACAGATGAACTACAGTTTGACTTTGCTTAGCTAAGTCATTAGTAAACTTGTCCAGTAAAATAATAATCTTACAAAAAAGAACTTTGGCCTTAGTTAGCACATATTAGCAACACAATCTTCCTAAAATTCCCAAATATCTGTTAGGATTTTCAAATGATATATTGAAAAAAAAAGAATACAGTACTATAAAAAAATTTTTTTTCTTTCCGTATAAGCTATAATCAACGATTCCTATAATGCTTTGGTGAACGCCTCAGATAAATGTTGAATTCAGCGAAGAAGTAAAAAAAGTAGACAAAATTGACGACGATGTTCACCAAAGTTTAACGTCATTAGCGAGAATTTTAGTAAAATAATTTTTATAAATAGGTTATCATGAAAATTTTAAGAAAAGTAAATTTATTGTGTGGATAGCTGCTTTATTAGTTTATTGAAATGGGAAAGTTATGCTGTTGCAAAATAAATTTTTGGATTAGCAAAAGAAGAAAAACATTTTCAATATGATAAATATGTAAATTTGCCCATAAATTGTTGACCATTGAAAACAAATTACCAATTTTTTTTCTGCCTCCTTATCCCTTTGCTGCACCACGTTTTCAATAAATAATCATTTCAAAAAAAAAAAAAACCTGTAAATTCATTGCAGTCTGTAAACGTAGACCTAAGTTCGACTTTGATGGACGAGTCGAAATTCGTGGTGATGGGCCAGCTGTAAGTTCATCGACTTGTAATGCCAGACGTCTTCGAACCTAAATTATTCAGCGTTTATGCCGGTAACAAGTTCGTTATAAGACTGTACGAGGAAAAAAGAGTTTGATCAAAAACTATCCCTCCACTTTCCAGCTTGACTGATTTGACCGACGGTGACGTCATCATTTCAGTTATCTCATAAACAAACAGCGTGCAAATTCAATTTAAAAAGGCGCACAATTTAAAGTTTCTAGAAAACTTTTTTAATTCAAAAAAATGCTGCTTGTTAGTTTCCATACGTTTATTCACTCACGAATCATCCAAATTTTTCTTTCCTATCCTAGCCAGAAAGACAGTAGCAGAACACAGTCAATACATTTTTACCTGCTCTCCCAGTAGCTTACGTTCCGTGACAAGTCGTTCCTGTGCAGCACAGTTTAATTTTTCTTCCAATTTAATGAAGTCAAGGTTTGGCAAGCAAGTATCCAAGTCACTGAGCTCTTTTTCGATACTTTCCCGCAGAGCATCTAAATTTGTTTTCTGCACGGGTTCCGCAGACAACGAACCAAGCGATTTGGAAGTTGTCGGTTTTTCGCACCACGACGGTACAATATCGACCTTCGGGTTCTGCATAACACAGGCTAAACCGGTATCATCATCATGCAAGCCGGAACCAGCCGGAAAACTGCCAGTACTTTTTTTGACAGTTCCTAAATCTGAAGCGAACAGATCATTTTGTTTTAAAAGCTGACTTTTTGTTTTCCCAAATGAGTCGACTGTTGAGATATCATATTGTATTGAATTATTATTTCTGGAAAATGCCGAATCAGACAGCGTTGAAAATTCACCAGCATGATGAGACGTCGTACTGGACATCTCAAAGGAGTCAGATGAACATGACGTTGATACGGCTCGATTATCATCTAACAACGGCGAACGTAGAGATTCTAAGCTCGATGTATTGCTCCGTTGTTCCAACGATGTACAGGATTCGGCAGCTTTAACAATGGTGCTGAGGATCGACTTTTCGCAAAAGTTGATGTTATTGTTTTTGATGTTATAGTCAGTTTGGTTACAGCTTTCAGCCTGATTCATAAGCATCGCGTAATATAATTTCTTCCTCTTCGCTTTTCCTTAACCCCGTTTCTAATGTTTTATTTTATTTGTTTGCTGCTTTTGTTCTTCCTTCTTCTTCTTCTGCCACTTCTTATTCTTCCTCTCCTTCAAATAGTACAGTGTGAAGGACGTCAAGCTTGAAAAAATCTAGTTTGTTTCGGCCAACAATAAATCTTCTTCCGCATCAATGCTTCAATGATGAATTACCAGATTGAAGAGACTAACAATCTGCAACAAGTCTATCTTTTTTTAATAAATAAACCACTTTCTGAATTTCAGATGATTTAAAGATATAGAAAAAAAAGCAAGAAAATAGAAAAATATATTTTTAAAACAATTCTGATGCCATCCTCGTTGGTTTGATAATATTGTCAAAATGCCGTGATTGGTAAGGAACGATGTTAGGGCATTTTGAAAAAAATAATCAGACTGGGCAATTGCACTAAGCAATCAAAAAGTCAAAACAACGCTAAGCTCTTCAACGGATTCTAAAAATGACTTTCAGTACAGCTACTACTGCCGCCACTACTACTAATCCAGCAATAAGTCCCACCTAATAACCCGATTATTCGGCATCTCGGCCGTTCATCTTCGCTTTCCTATCCAGAAAATACCATTTCAAGTGTGTCACTTTGATAAGTGCCAAAAATTTTAAAGATAAAGACGAAAAAAAAGAGTAGAAAAAAACAAAACAATAAGAGAACTTCAGAAAGGTTATTTCAACCAATTTCACAGGAAGAAACTGAATAAGTAGACAACAAATAAATTACCATTATTATTATTAAACTATTACTTATCATTATTGTTACTATTATTATTATCATTATCATTATTATCGTTATTAGTTCTGTTGCTGATGTTACTGAACTGCAAATGGAAAGAAATGCACGCAAAAATACATTGCACAATAAAATCAGGCAAAATCGTACATATTTTTAAATTGTTTGAAAAAAAAAATATTGAAAGAAAAAAAATTAGGATTGGTTAGGCATAAAAGGAAGTTTGCAATTAAACTCATTGACAATATCGTTTGACCGTTTTTTACTCATTTCCACTTTTTACAACTGCCACATTATTCAACTCTTCTCAATTTTTTTCTCATTTCCTATTCGCTTTTACGATTTGTTTCTAGCAATTAGTCAATACTTCCTCCACCTTCTTCTTCTTTTCCCTTTTCACTACCTATCACAAAACTGAGTGAATATGATTAAATATGGAAGGAAAAAAATTCTCACAAACATGCGAAAAAAAATACACATATACATACAAAAAAATATATACTGACAAAAAAAACCTTTTTTGAAGAATTAAATTATGTAGGAAATAAGATAAGGAAAAAAAGTCTACGTAAATAACGAAATATGAGAAATCTAATTGGTCTAGGGGTCGCTCTACCAACCAAAATGTAAACTAATATTTTTTGAAGAACGGTTCTGTCCAATAGATTTTTTGGTATGCTTGTTTTTATTCTGCTTTATTTCACAATTTCTTTTCTTTTAAAAACAATTTTTTTTTCTTTTTTGACAACCGCAGAACTGTAGAAGTAAAAATAAGTGTTTCTAATAGTCGTAATCTCGTTTTTCTCTTTTTCTTCTTTTCCAACTTTTTGTTTCTTATTTTTCTTCTTCATTATACCGCCGTTGGCCAATCAATTTTGTTCAACCAGGAAAAATGGCTTTCTTAAACATTATTCATCAAACAGCATACCGGGCAAAAATGCCTCCTTCATACAGCTGTACAACTTTCGACGATACACGCAAACACATTCAGATACAGACGCCAACTTAGACACACATACAAACATACTCACACACGTATATACAGACATATATATATATA